TTCCACTGATTTGAAGATGCCCCTCTTGACACATTCTAATATCTCTGAAATGCATCTTACAAATAATAGCATTTCATAAAACTGCAGAAATTTCTAGGTTGCACTCAGTCGTTGAAAATATCCTTCTATGTTTTTAGAAACTGGTTTGAGAAGTTTCTTAGAATAAATTCTTAAAAGGGGAACTGCTGGGTCATTTTGTTCTGATACAAATCGCCAAGCCACAGCTTGAAAAGACTAATAGACACAGACTTCCTCAGGCAGGAGGTGACAGTATCCACTTCACCATACCTCAGCAGGAGGCAGGGCCCATCATTATCATCTTTGCTAATCTGACAGGAAAAATGACCTCGTTTTTTTTGTGTGTGGGTTTTTTTTTTTCCTCCATTCACTATTGAGGTCAACTTACTTTAGCTGGAAAGTCCAATAAGTCACCAGGTAGAAGTGCCACAAGTCAGCCGTGCTTGGGAAGTGAGCGAGGCAGACCCTTGGATACCTTGTACCTCTTGTCCGTCCCATCTACCAGGTTAAGAAGGGCGCTGAAGCACTGCACGGGGGGGGGGCACCACAGCCAGACCCAAGACCAAACCCACTTACTAGATGTGTGAACCCAAACAAATCCCTTCACTTCTTAGCCTGTTTCTGGACCCACAGGTCACAACATTTCAGGGACCACCATCATACACAATGCCTGATCTCCTGGCCGAGAGAAATGCTCACGATGGTACTAACCAATGGTGACCCCAAATGGCCACTCACCAGCCCAGAGGTGAAATGTCAAAGATCCCAAAGGAACACTTCATTTCTGTACTCCACGAGGAGTCCTGAATAGGCACTGAAAGTTCATTCTTAGCACCTATTTGGCAAATAGTACACTGGACTGAAGGGAAATGAATATAAAGAAAGGCAAGCAAATGATTCTGCTGCATGAGAACTCGGTCATTCCTACAGATGACACGCAACACTCTGGGCTTAGGCCTATCATCTGGCAAAGAAATGCTTCCACAACATATAGTAGGACTTTGAAGGAAAAAAACCTACCTCAACCTCTCATTTTGTGTGTCTGATAATCCAAACACCTGAAATGAGGCTTGTGTACCGAAACGCAGGTGCAACCAGTGCACCAGTCAGCCCTCCCCAGACCCCGGCACCCAGGAGCAAACCCAGTGGGCCTTCTCAGTTACACAGGAGCCTTATTCACGTGCCCCCGGCCGACAGGCAGAGGTGCCGTTATTCTCCTTCTGCATTTCTGAAACCACTGGCTCCTTCTTGCGGTCTTCCGCAGGCTCTTGTCCCCCCTGATCACCAGGGCCGGCCAGGCTTCCCTCCTGGCGATCCAGTACAAATGCAAACACCAGCTGAAAACCTTCAGAGGCTCCTTATGAAGATCACACTCTGCTGGGCTTTTCTTCTCTGGCTCCAGGTCCACCTTCTCCATTACGTCACAGTCCAGATCTTATTCTAGCCTTCCTACCTCAAACACAGCCAGCTCACCTGCTCCCTTTTCCTCACCTACCCCTGTTGGCCTGCAGGGTCCAGCCTGAGGGTCACATCCACACAGGTACAGGCCAGAGGTGTGGGGGGTGAGAAGATTCACCAGAGACAGAGTGGGGAACAGAACAGGCAGACTGACCAAAGTACACTGCTAAGGTGAGCAGCGGGCGAGTCAGGAGAGGTCTGCTGTGCCATGTGGGCAGCTCCCTGGCTGGCTGGGGATCGAACTTGTGCTGCAGAGGCTGCCAACAGCTTCATAGCTTAACCCCTTGCGCCATCAGGGAGGCCCCTAAAGAAGTCTTAAAGAAGTTTTAAAAGGTTTTTTCTGTTCTAAAAATGGTCTCATTTTCTATGCCTCTGCATAGCATTTCACACAATCACCTCAGTTCTTTCATTTAGTTTCAGAGTTCCTGAAGGGAAAATAGCACTTTTTATATTTCTTCCCAATTCTCAAGGCACCCTGTCCCAGGATCCTGCCCTGGGATCCGGTTCATGAAGATGTAGAGGAAAGGCTCCCTGAAACAGGACCTGTGCACACGGTGGCAGGGCCGTGTGTGCCAAATCTAAGGCAGTTTAGGAACTGCCAGAAGCAGCGAGTGCCCGACAGTAGAAAACACCTATATACCTACCACTGGTTATCTTCTAGACTTGAGAGAAAACACAAAACCACCTCCAGCAGGGGCCGGGCCAGAGTCTGAGAGCTCAAAAGGGTCTCCTGCTCCCAGGGAGCACTGTTTCAAGTCTGTGCACATGGAACCCCACATGGCGACTTTTATGTCAGCACGGCCTTTTCTGTGCTTGGGGAACCCAGTCAGGGGAGAGGCCCACAGCAGTGGAGAAACCGGAGAATCTTAGGTTCATTTCAGCACACAATGCCTGAGACCTGCAACTGAAGAGCAATCCCTTCCATTTCTAAGCGCTGTCCCCACTACCCCCAAAAGTGGCATGGCTTGTAAGAGGGAAAGTAACAAAGGGAAAGTAACAGTGAAGCATTCAGTTCTATTTTCGGCTGCCTGCAAAATGTTTTTATTTTTTGTCTCTCTTCTCTATGCAGGACAAGCAGACAGAGAGCAGGGAAGTGGCCATAAGTCAGCGCTGAGCCACTACCAAAAGCTGCAGCAGAGGCTGTGAGCCTTCTGGACTTTCCCCGAGTAGAGGCTGAGCCCTTTCCATTTCATTATCTCCATGTGTGTTCAGCACCCGCACACACATGTCCCGTATCAAGAAAGGGCATATATATATATATATATATATATATATATATATATGCCTGTTTCAGTCAAGTCAAGTAGCCAGTGCAATTCCAGTTAAACAGGTTTCGGCTCACAAGTTACCAAGTCAATTCAAAGCCATTCAAATGAAGCCCCATTACTCCTTGAAGCAGCAAATGAGCAAAATGTTTTTTCTTTTTAACAGTTCTTAAGACCAAGCAGTGGCCCTCCTCCTCTTCACTTAGCTGTTGCACAGAATTATGAGACAAAGAACAACTACTGTATCCTCACCCTTTCCCCCCCCCCTTTTTTGGAGGAAAGCCACAAGATTACTAACAAACAGCTAATGGCCACCATTCAAAAGCAATAATGGCATCATGACTTCATATGCCAGTTATCCAGCAAACTGCAGAGAACCAAACATATGCATTTTTCAACCTCCCCAAAGAAAATCTGAAAGTAAATGTGAGCCCTCTGATTTATTCTCTCTCCTACTACACACATTTCCAGGGGACTGTTAAGCAGTATCATCTTTTCTAATTATAGAACAGGAGAGAAGACTTCACACTTGTTCAAGAGTTGACCCATGAATTTATAAAAATGTTCATGGTTGCATCAAGAAAGTCAGTGATAGTAAACAGGGCACATTCTAATCTAAAAATTCTTAACAACAGACACCAAATCCCTGGTTTTGTTTTAACTTGTTGCTTTAGTGCTACATACAATGGAACAGACAAAAGAAAAATATCAACTACCAGGTTCAAGACGAAGCGTAATGGAGAAATCCACCCAAACGTGGCCCAAAGGGTGACTGCATCAGCTACAGATGTGGGTGCTTGAGGAGCCAATCTCATCACAGACAGGCTACTGCCGTGACCTGTGAGAACAAGCCCTCACCAGGATCCTCTGGACACAGATGATACAATTTAGCCTACTTCTCATGTGCTCTGATTTCTAGCACTCTCAGAAAACAAACAGAACATGGCACTCAAACCGCTGGCTGCTTCTGGCTGCTTTCTGACAATTCAGTGACTCTGAGAACCCCAAAAGAGCATGACATCATGAACAGAGCTTTGAAATGAACACAAACACACCAGTTCTCTTCCCTGTAAAGGGCTCTGCAGTGTCCCCCTCCACGAGGCACAAGCTGCCTTTCCAACACTAGGAAACTGCCGTGCGGAGTGCTTCAGAGAACTCTATGTCCTGGGCCCATGAGCAAACCAAAAACTATCCACAGGTCTATACATCTTCAGACAGAAAAAACACATTCGTCCTTTTATAAAGGGCCTTATGTCTACAATTTCACTTCCTCTTTATAAAATTTCTATCATTTCCTTCAAGGGTGATGAATGCATGGGCAGCAAGTCCCAGCCATGAGACTAAGGGTGAGCGGACAGACTGGCAGAGGTGGAGACAGTGACTGTGTAAACCCTACACTTCGGGCTTTTCTGCGGTACAGTCCTCCACAACACCCACCCTCGTAAAAATAAATTACATTTCCCAAAGGGCAAGCGGCTCCATCCAATTGGGTAAACAACATGATTACCATGTGCCAGGTGGGAAGGAACCCTCATGTGAACAGTGGGCTCAAGATGAGCTGCAAACCTAAAGCAGCTTATTTTTAAATTGTCAGCAGGTTTCCTTTGTGCAATTAAGAGTTTAATATGGGGGAACTGCTCCTCAAGTTTCTTTTGAGAAAAACTGAAATCTTTGTACAACAGCAAGTTGAACCTTATTATTTAGAATTCCAATCATTTCCAGAAAGAATAAAAATACACGGAGGTTCCTGAGCGGGTTTTGGCATATACTTCTAACTACCTCTCTAAAGCAGGGTAATTAATTTCTAACCTACTAGGATCACATTCCACAACGCAAAAATCTTTTGACTGTGTAAAATAAGACTAATTGAGTGCTTTTACATAAACACTTCAAGTTTAGATCTTTAAAAAAAATCCTTTTTAATAAAACTCTACATGGTAAATCAATCGACTCTAATACTTCCTTACCAACTACCCTGCTTTGACTGTACTTGAAATAGAACCAATATCAACAAGCAAACAGAAACACTCGAAGCATCCACACAAAGGCAGTTAGAGACAGACATCACAACAACCCTCTGAAGTCATATTTAATATTCTGCTCAGCCTCTGCCTCAGCCACCCCGATCACACCCAGCAGAGAGTGAGCAAGTGGGCAATGAGAAGACGACAGCGCAGCTTCTTTGTGTGTGATCCGGGCGGAGGAAGGTAGGTGAGGGCAGGAGAGGCCCTCCGGCATTTGCTTGGCATCAACGCTTACCTTGAGGATGTCCCCTCTTTTGAAGCTCAGCTCGTCGTCAGCAGTAGCTTTGAAGTCATATTTGGCGATGGCTTCCATTCTGAGTACCGCTCAGAGCTCGGCAGCCTGAAGCAGGGGGAAGGGAGTCTTCCCTGCTGAAGCAACCCAGTGCTCTGGGCTCAGCTCGCCTGTCTTCTGGGACTCACGCCTGCACTCCAGGACACACGATGCCACCCTGAATCAGAAGAGGGGTGATTGAGAGAAGAGGCTGGGATCGAAGGCAGCCCCGCCCTGCCAAGCAGCCTGCGGTCCCAGCCCCCACGCCCCCTGGCTCGCCGGGGCTCAGCCCTCCTCCCTCCCTCTCAGGCTAGAGCCCAGATCTCCTTCTTCCTCTTTTCAGCCTCAGCCCCCAGGCGACTGACGGGCCCGCCGGCCAATGGCGGCAGCTGCTAGAGCTATTCCAGAACACACTTCCTCTTCCTTCCCGCTGGGTGTGCGCGGGGTGCAGGAACCGGCTGGAGTCCACTCAGTCTCCACCTTTCCTCCCTCACCCCTTGCTCTTCTCCAGGCACCCAATGCAGCTGTCGGAGGGAGGGGGGGCCCGGGGGGACACGGGCCCTACTTTTCTCAAATAGGCCTATCTCCCTGCCAACCCTCCAGGTCTCTGAAAATGCTGGGTCCCACTACCCACAGTTCAAAGCAAGCGGGCAAGCTTTGGTCCCGAGCTGCTGGAACTCTGCTCAGAAACTAACTCCAGGTCGCTCCCTGGGAAGGGGAAAGCGTGGCCCCAGGAAATGGTGCTTGCTCACTTCCCACTCCCAGCACAGGCCGCTCTCCCACCACTTCCCAGAGTGACCAGAGAAAGGAAACCCAGCTAAGACAGCCCCTTGCTGGTGGAGACATGTTCTTGCATAAGGCTCCCTCTCCCCGGAAGACCCCCAAAATCTTGGGATCCCCAATCGCCCTTGAAATAGACTTCCAAGGGGCCTCCCGGGTGGCGCAAGGGGTTAAGCACAGCACTATGAAGCAATCTGCAGCCTCTGCAGCAAGAGTTCCAGCCCCGGCCAGCCAGGGAGCAACCCACATGGCGCGGCAGACCTTTCCTGACTCGCCCGCTGCTCCCCTCAGCAGTGTACCTTGGTACACTGCCTGTTCTGTTCCCCACTTTGTTTCTGGTGAATCCTCTCATCCCCCTGCACCTCTGGCCTGTCCCCCCCAGCTCTTGTATGAATAAATAAATCTTAAAAAAAAAAAAGAGGGCCTCCCTGGTGGCACAGCGGGTTGAGTGCCCTGCTGTGAAGCTGTCTGTAGCCTCTGCAGCGCTGGTTCGATTCCCAGCCAGCCGGGGAGAGACCCACATGGCGTGGCAGACCTCTCCTGCTTCGCCCGCTGCTCCCCTCAGCAGTGTCTTCAGTCCGTCTACCTGTTCTGTTCCCCGCTCTGTCTCTGGTGAATCCTCTCACCCTCCCACTCCTCTGACATGTACCCCAGTTCTTGTATAAATAAAAATAAATCTTAAAAAAAAAAGAATTCCACACCCCCTCAAAAAAGGAAGGAAGAAATAGATGTCCAAGGTTCAGTATTCCTTTCTAACCAACATAGAGAGCAAAACTGAAGTCTTAATCTATACTTGATTAGAACGTGAGCTGCCAGGTCTTGTCTGGGAAAGAAAGTATAGGGAGGTGCCAGAAAGCCAACACAGCTACCCTGAGAACAGCTGCTTTTCTAAGAGGCCCAAGAGTGCTAAAACAACCCAAATTGCAGCTCACAGGTGATGTCTGTAATGACCCTTAGGTGGTGTATCAGGTGATGCTGAGCTGTGGGCTGATCACAGCCGGCCCCAGCGTGAATACTGCACGCTAGTCCTCTGCACAACTGAAGAAAAACAAAGCCCCATTCTTGACCGGTCTCTATTTCATATTGGCTAAATAAAAGCAGCAAACACAGACACAGGCAGAATGGGGACAAATTATTTATAGTGACACCCTTCTTAGATAATTACCACCTAGCAGAAAACTCATTTGAGGGGCACAAGTGATTATTCTTTTGTTCTAAAGTTAACAACTGGGGCACGAACCAGGCGTAGCTGTAAATGGGCTATGCAGCAATCCAGCCGGGAAGATTCAGGTTAAAGGGAACTGAGTATCACCAAGGAGGAAAGAAATCACCTGGTAACAAAAAGGTCTTCAAACTCTGAAAGCAAACATTGTACCACCAGGACAGTGGACACCCAGAGCTCTGGCTCCGAGGGGGGAAAGAGGAGAAAGAATTCTAGCAGATACTGAACACACAGATTAGTCTTGGGATATTTATCTTTGTGCGGCCTTAAACACCCTGTACCTACACTCTCTACTACTTTGTCACACTAATCTTTGTGGACGGTTTTAAAACTCGGTATTAAAAGGCTTATGAAAAAGAGCTGTACCCACCCCAACACCCACAAGCAATCACTCTCAATTTTCATTTTCTCTCTATTTATTTACAGTATTCCTGGGAGACATGCAACTACTGCCCTTCCTTAAGAGATTCTCCAGCAGCCTCTCGAGCAACTGAATGGTGAGGCCTAGCGCTTCCAGTCTTGCCCCATCCCAGCAGGAAGACCAGGCGCTCCAGGTGAGGCAGCTGTCACATGACAAAACTGTGTTCCCTGGGGAGATAAAGGATGCACTACCACCAATCTGCCTCTCCAGGGCAATCCTGCCCTCTGTCCTGGCGTCAGTAACTCCTTTTCCTCTTTTGCCCACTTTGCAATGCAGGCACCTGTCTTCCATTTGTCACAAATGCTCCATAATCTCCCTACCTGCCTATCAGTATTTCCCTGGCCCCAACCTAACTATTTCCTTTCATTCAGAAGCCCAAAGCACCATCACTGGGCTGCCCGGTGACAGGACAAGAACACCCAGTCCTCCAGGAATTCTGACAACTGCAGTGTAACTCAAAGGCCCGGCATAAAAACCAAGGCAGTCCTCAACACACTGTCCTTTGTCGCTGGGCACCTCCACACAGGTTCCCTAGAGAAAGCTCGGGATGGTGTTGCAGGCATCACTGCTCCGGAGACAGTTTGAGAGCAGTGACAGGACATCTGGTATTTCTGAAGCTGTGAGCAAAGCAGCCGCACGGAGAAAACCGAAGAGGCCAGTCAGGCCCTGGGCGGAAGAGAGCACACAGATTCAAGGAACACAAGGGGGTGTTTCTTTAAAGACAAACTCTCCACCACATCTGGACACTAGTTCCTGAAAGGACTCTGAAGGCAGACACACGGTAGCATGGTTTTAACAGTGGATGCTACTCTTCGTTTCCTGAGAAAAGGGCTGGGAGGACCCCGGCGTGATGAGTCTAGGCCACCCCAAGTCAGCAGCACACCCCTTGGCAGCCCTGCCCAGCAGCTGACTTTAAGGCGTGGCTTGAGTCGTTTATTTCAAGCAATAGGCACTGTCCCCTAAAATGCTGTCCCCTAAGGGGATTTGGAGGCTGCTCTTCCATGTAATTCTCATCTTCCCTAAATTCACTGAAAATGCAATGCATGGTGCTGGGCGGGCCGTCCAGTTTGGCATGCACGGTCTCTAAAGGCTGCGGACACGGTTCAAGGGATGACCCTGCTGCTTACCAGCTGCAGTTCTGGGCAAAACTTTTAAGGCCCTGCTTTCTCATTTGTAAAATGGGTATAACAACATCTACTTTATAAGGTTCACTCAGCATTAAATTAAGCATCTATTAAAGTAGATAATACATGTGAAGTGCTCTGGACAGAGCTTGACATTAATTCACTAAAAACAAATTAAAATGTTGACTCCTAAGACCTGTAAGATGTTCAACTGCACTATTAAAAATTGCAAATTAAAACAATGAGATTTGCTTTCATCTGCTAATTGGCAGCTTTTTCAAAGTTTCATAGTAGGGCCTCCCCGTTGACACAGCTGGTTGAGCACAGCGCTGTGAAGCTGTTCACAGCCTCTGCAGCACAGGTTCGATTCCCAGCTGGCCAGGGAGATTCCCACATGGTGTGGCAGACCTCTTCTGTTGCACCTGCTGCTCCCCTCAGCAGCATCTTCAGTCCGTCTGCCTGTTCTGCTCCCCACTCTGTCTCTGGTGAATCCTCTCACCCTCCCGTGCCTCTGGCCAGTACCCCAGCTCTTGTATAAAAATAAATAAATCTTGGGCCTCCCTGGTGGCTCAGCAGTTGAGCGCTGGGCTGCGAGGCTGCCCGCAGCCTCTGCAGTGCCGGTTCGATCTCTGGCCGGCAGCGAGGGTCCCACATGGCGCAACAGACCTCGCCTGCCGCGCCCACTGCTCCGGTCAGCAGTGTATTTTCCTCGGTCTGCCTGTTCCGTTCCCTGCTCTGGCTCTGGTGAATTCTCTCACCCTCCCACGCTTCTGACTCTACCCAGTGCTTGTATAAATAAATAAATCTTTTAATAAGTAAATAAATCTTAAAAAAAAACAAAAACCAAAGTTTCATAGCATGCAGACTCTGCAACACTCCAGGTAACAGGCTCAGACTCTTAGACCTGTCCATGTTCACCCACATGCAATACTTGGAGCAGCTACTCCAGGTGCCAGATAATGTGCCTGGTGCTGGATTATAATAATAAAACCATCAGAGCCCACGCTCTAGCTGGGAATTAATTAGTTCGTATTATCTATTGACAGTTTCAAAATACATACCCTTGAATATGCAATTCCACCTCCCCAGTTCATCCCACTAAAATAGCGACACATTGACACAAATACAATGTACCCATCGCACACGGCTTGGTGAGCATCCAGGAGCATATTGGAACACCCTTTTATGTGAGCACCAAGATATGGTATCAGGCTTTAAAATCCTGCATGAAAATTAGGATTGCCCCATTTCTGTAAAGCAACATAACATCTCTCTCAGCATGTTAAAGAAAAAAAACTCAAGAGGCGAACAATGATCATCTCTGGGCTTTGTGCGTGCACCTCGATTATATTTTTATTTACTCTAAGGGTGCACAGTGGTCCCCTCTAATCCGCGGTTTCACTTCCAGTGGTTTTGCTTTCCGTGGTTTCAGTTACCCGCAGTCAACCACTGTCGGAAAATACTACTTAGAGTGAGGTATTTTGAGAGACAGAGATCACAATTATGTAACTTTTATCACAGTATGCTGCTATGGCTGATCTATGTTGTTTAGCAATTGTTGTTAATCTCCTGTGATCAGTTTAGAAATCAAACTTTATCATAGGTATGCATGGGGGGGGGGGGCAGCGTACCCAGGGCTTGATACTATCCAGTTCCAGGAATCCACTGCAGGTCGTGGAATGTATCCCCCCCCCCCCCCCGCATAGACAAGGTGGGCACTTTCG